TTCATAACAATAAAAGCGGATATTTTGACACAACAACTGGTCTTAAGTAATATATTTCTTGCGGTTTTAAAACATAAAATACTTTAACAAAACGCATAGAAATAACTGTAAGACCAATAAAGCTTTGATATTAAACTGTGTGTCCAAATGGATGGCAACATTCACTCAAATAGTTGATTCACTGAACCGCACAAACATATACTGATTATATTTTGGATCACATTTCATGTCTACACAAACTTTTGTGCAAAACTTTACGCGAATATGATTTCTTTGCTAACAATTCACTCGTTTCTTATATACCCTATAGTTATTCAATCAAAGATTTTTTTGTGGATTTTTTATAATTTAACGGCAAGTCTTTTATTGTAATAACAAAATTAATTATAGACTTATACACAACATTAACTTCATCTTCAATATAAATCTTAGACTCTGATGTTTGACTTTTTATTATAGTCCAACATTTCAATAGAATATACAGTAGTTTTTTATTTTATTCAATTGTTATTTAGAAAAATAAATATATTTTATTGAATTAAATGTATAATATATCGATACTATTAGTAATCAAAATAAAAACTTCTGTCAATACCTGTAAACATCAATGAAATTTTGGCAATTGTTGTTATGTTGAGCACTAATACAATATATTTCCTCAAAATATACACTATTTTTCTATCAAAAGTTTATTTGAGGAAAATGTCATTCACATCTCAATAGATATTTACGATAGTTTTACCACTTTTTCTGATGTCTCTATTTATTCTTCCTATAAATTAATTGTTCAAAAAACAATACAAATACTTGTCATTCATTCCCATCTGTTTTGCGATCCGTTATTTCTATTAATGAATTGTTGGCAAACGTTATGCATTAAAAAGTGCATTTTCTAACTTCACTTTAAATTAAATGTCTACTCATCTGTAATCATGTTTTTATATTGAGAATTTACTTTTAACTTTGTGAACATTATAAATAGCATTAATTTTATAATGTATTAATATTTTTCATGATTAAATTAAATTTATAATAATTTATCAATTGTAATAGTGCATTTATTTGAAAATGAGGATTTAAAGCTGCAATATTTTTAATAAAATTGAATTTAATAAAACTTCACTAAATTCTAAATCTACCAAGTTCAATAGATAAGCAACATAAGTTATGTTTCTGTAATAAAATTAAAAATTTGATAATTGTTGTAATTAAATATAATAACAAATACTTATAATGTTTTTATAAGAATGAATAAGTACAAATTTAATAATATAATAAATAAATACAGATTTGAAATATATTATTACAACTAATTCACAATAAACACACATTATATCATTAAGAATACATAACTCAATGTTTATTAAAATTATGCAAAAGTTTTAATTACACTATAATTACTGCACTTTTCTTTGCTTAGTTTACATATTCAAAATGCAAATAATATAACTCATATGCTATTTAACAATTAAAATCACATTTAAATAATAATTTTATCATTAATCCTAATTAAACAAATTTTTTAAAAATCATAAACTTTGAATACTTAAAGGTAATTCAGTTTTACTTGATTTAAGTTTAAAATTATTTATAGAATCATGATTAACATGATAAATCAAACCCCAATATCAATTAAAATATAATACTTGATTAATTACAAAACGCATAAATCAGTCAACTTTTCTTTAATGGTATTAATAGTATTTTTATTTATTAAAAAATAAAAACATATCTCCAATCGCTTGACTGAACCTTTACTTAACAAATAGATAGTCAAACCAATTTGGTTTAACCAAATGTGGTTTTTATAACAATATTTTTGCACAAATATTTATGCAAATTTTTTTCATAGTTTTGTCATTAGTATCTGAAATCAAAGTGATGGAAATGATATACATTTTTTACTTATAATAACTTTTGATAAGTTTTATAGAAAAATCCATAATATAATGGTTGTATTGATTGGTCATTGAATGCATTCATGTATGCAATCAATTGAAAGCGAATGCAATTAAACTTTTTTCTCTAGATTTGTGTGTTGTATAAGAAGTTGAATGCACTATAAGTTAAAAGTTATGGAGAGTTCGCTACACTTTACGACTCATGTAAACGCTTTCATACGGTGTCTGTGTTTTGAGTGGATTTAGTGGCCATAATATACCTGTACTCTCATCCACACAACCAATACTAACGGACTTTGATTTTTGTAGTTAAGTATACGATATAATTAATTGTTTGTTCAAACATTGTTTTGTCAATTTAGCCATGATTAAATAAATACAATTATTGTAAATCATTAAATATACATAACATTGTTTATACACTAAAATCAGAGCTTCATTTGTAAGAAACAATCTGTTATTTAAACTCCAATATCTTAATAAAGTAATCAAAATAATTGTGATTTTATTTATCTATAATTAATGAGTGTTTAAATAACACAAGAATTTGTTTTGATTGTTTTCCATAACAATTTGTTGCAATTATTCAATTCATTGAAACAAACATAACTGTATATAATTGTTTGAACAGGAATTCACTGGTTATAAGTTCTGGAAATAGATTTTAAAAGATCTTTACATTTCGTGTTATTGTCATTTCGGTAAGTATTTATTAAGTGAAACAATGTTTTTAAAAAATTCATTTTTTATTGCAATCAATAATAATTACAAAATAAATGAAATGCATTATTAAATGGCAGACAATAAATTGATAAAAAAATGTTTTACATTATACTTAATACAGAATTAGTTTTATAAGAAATGCTATTAAAACAAACAATTTGATCAAAAGGAAAGCCGTCATCAGTTAAAGATAGATATACTGTATATTAATGTTGTAAAAAATAAATATTACTAAAAATTAATGCAAAATAATAATAATTGTAATTTCAATACCACATTAAGAAGTGAATGAGATTGTGATGTCTTATGAGAAAAATGAACGTAAATTATCCCAAACACTAGCTTTAAAAGAGTAATTTCTTATGAATTATATTAAGATACTATTGAAAACCTTCAAACACTTTGAAGTAAAAAGTTAATTATAGGTGAACTTAATGAGCGGTTTCAGTGGTGCCGTTATAGACGTCCCGGTGTTGGCGGTCATCATCGGTGTCGTCGGTCTCGTCGTGTCCGACCCGTCCGTTGTGTCCGTTATTTTGGTTATCGTTGACGGAAACGATGAAACTGTTGCTCTCGTTTGGATCACTCGTGTAATTGTTGGGAGTCTTCGACGCCGTCATAGAAGTGGTCCGTATTTTGTCGCTCTTTACCCGCGGATTGCGATTCACTTCTGCGGCGCCGCTCTTTCGTCTCTTCAGGAATATAAACACTCCGACAAAAGCGCAGATAAAGGCCACAACACATGCGAACGCTATAAACCAGTGGGTCTTTGAGAAACCACTGCCATCTGAATCGGCCTCCGGTGACTGCGGGCCCTCTCTATCAAGATTGTCGGTCTTGTCATTTGGTCCCGGCTTTACAGGCGCGTGACCCGTGTCCGGTCCCCGTGGGATATACTGCTCATATGTAGGCGGAGGGGGCGGCGCCTCTGTGGTAGTGGTGGTGGGTTTTGGCCACTTTTGAACGCCAGTATCGATGGTCGAGATATTACTAAAAGCTCTCAAATTCCCGGATTCGGCGACAACTCTGATCTCATAGAAGCGGTCGAACTGCAAATCCCCCAATTCTATGGGCCCTTTGGCCTCTTCCATGTCCTCTTTGAAAGTGTTCTGCCATTTGTCCAAATCGTCGATACCTTTGAGCCGATACTCGATGTAAATTTTGTCGCCGGGATTGTTATGCGTAACATTCGGCTCATATGTTATGCGAATTACGCCCCGATTATTGCGGTTCGTATGTCGAGTCCACACGAAAGCGGGCGGATCTGGATATATATCGACGGGAGTGTCAACAGTGATCTGATTAGACGCCGGGCCGTCGAAAGCGCCGTTAAAGGCCAGCACTTGAACATTGTTTTGCGACTCCGGAGTGAATATCTCTATGAGTGCTGTCGTTATGTTTGCCGCCACTATCTGTTCGCTCTTGTTTTCATAGCTCTCTGTCCACACCTGCACTTTGTATCCTATTTTATATAATGTATACAAATATAAGATAAATGTTTCAATTATTCAGTTTCTTTCCGTTTAACTATATTTCAAAGTAATATTTTTATCACAATTTTCTTTGTTAAAAATCTTTGTTTCCAATTAATCGCAAATTCATTGCAATAATTATTTGTTTTATCACTCAATGAGTAAAAAGAGTTGTAAATTGTTGTATATTTTTTACAATGAATTCAATATCAAAGATTAGATCCGAGAGAGGAAGTGGTTTACATTATTCATAAATTCCTTAATTATCACTAAATGTAAAAAAATATTTGTTCCGTTTGTATCGTATATTCAATGTTTTCGTAACAATAACTACTGAATGGTTGTATTATTTTACTGATAAACTAAGTTTTGAATTCAAAAATATTTACACATTTAAGGTGTCATTTCAATTTTAAGCTTTCCATTCAAAATTAAAATTATAAACATTATTGTAATAATTGATAATTGAATTACAATCTTAGCCATGTTAAAACATTATGTTATATAAATTTATTATCAAAGTATAATTCATGTTATATTGCTGTCAAATAAGTCAAATAAGTATATTCAAAATAAGTGTTAACTTTATGTGAAATATTCAATAATTGTTATCAATATGAAGTGAATATTAGGTAAATAAATGATTTGTGAATAAAGTCTACATTAAGTTATCTAAGTTTGGGATAAATTAATTCAACGGTTTCCCAGACTTGAGACTCATATAAAAGCTATACTAACGTCACAAATATTTATTGGTTTATAAATACATGACTTATTAACACAAAAATTTATGTTTAAATGCAAATTAACATATTTTTGAGGCATTTGTAGAATTATTGTCGCAAATATAGTAAAAATTGAACAAACCTTTGAAATGTCCGTTCAAAGACATGGGAGGGACTGCACTCCAACTCAGTTTAGCGCTTTTGCCATCAATTACTTCAATTAATCTCAAGTCTTTGGGCGCATCGCTCGGTCTGTCCTCATCGGAGAAACCGATCACTTCGTGGGCGTCGACCCGAGCCCTACCCAGACTGTTATGGGCCTCCACTTTGATCCGATAGGGTCTCAATTTGGGCAGATTCTCGATGAGGAGTCTGTGCTGTTGCCAATCGAGAACATGCCTTTCATGCCATTCAGAGTTCACTTCATCGCTCAGTCGGTAGAAGACTCTGTAGTAAAATCCTGGGGCGTTGTGTTCGGTCGGTGGCATCGGTTTCCACGATATGACCAAATTCTTGGGTCCGTTTCCCCGTCCGTACACATCGTCCGGATTCTTGTGCGGAATGTCCTCCTCTGTGGTGCACGAGTCGGATGGGGCGGACGCGTTGCTGGCGCCCACATAATTGACCGAGATCACACGAAACTTATACGTCGCCCACGGGTTCAGTATGAGCCGCAGCTCTGCGTCCACTACCGGAGTCTTGTATACGTAATCAAACCACTCATTTGGCGACCAATTAGTCATGTATTGAATCTTAAACTCCTTGACGTCTGCCTCACCCATCGCCGACCACCGCAGTATTGCCGACCGTTTCTTACACTCAATGCTGATTATCTCCGGCGGTGTCGGCGTATCGGCCCCTAAGACACACATCACGGCTGACAGACAGACACTGAAAATCACTAATAGTTTCATATTTTGTTTTGTTTTTTCACTAATTCGTCGGTATTTTAAAGTAATATTATTTTTATGAAACTGAAACTGAAGTTCAATTAGTAATGAGAGAAATGTGTCTCTTATATAATGAGAGACGAGTTTAGAAATGAATTAATAATTTGCTCACAAAAAGTGTCAATACTTTTGGTTATAAGAGTCGATAGGAAAGAGAGACACAATTTCCATATAATGTGAGTAATAATAATATAATAGGCTTTCAGTGAATACTTCTTATCTAAGGTATTAATATCTCTATCCATAAGTGTTTCTATGGTTAATATCAGACAATATTATAGTTTTTGTGTTTTCTCTAACATATTATAAGTAATCAACATTTGAGAAGTTATTATTGCCTTTTTTATTAAATATTATGGCAAACATTAGTCAATAAATCATTATATAATATAAAGTCTCGTTTTGGTCTCAATTTTTATGTTAAAAGCATAAAAATCACAATTAATATGAGTTGTAACTAAATATCACTTTTCACTTAAAAACAAAAAAAATAATTAAGTTTCTTAGATTAAGTTTCGTTAATTTTTATGAATCATTTGTATACATAAGAGTTTTATATGCAATGGTATCCACAAAACCATACATTGATTGCATAACTTCCGTATGAATACCACTCAACGTATATTATAAAATAACAATTTTCATTATAATATAGCATATCGTCTACATATCACTATTAAAACTCATTTAAAATATAATTTCTCTCATAATTATTGCAAATCACTTAACCAATCATTTATTAAATTCAATACACATCTCAGACACGAGCACTTCATTACAAATATTAACCTTTGTTTTTGTGTATTTTATTGAAAATCAAACGCTATTTAAATTTTAAATACTATTCACTTTATTAAGCTGTGATTTTACTTACAGTATAGCATGAAAATTGTAAACAAGTATAAACTCAATGTTAAAGATTACATTTATTTTGTTCAAAATCATAAATAATATTAATTGAAATAGATATTGATGTTCAAAAAATGTTTATGTAATAATGTGTGTTAAATGAAGTCAGCAAAATATTTAGCACTATTTATATGCATAGATATTACTATTAAAATGATTTAATTACTACATGTTATGTCAAATGTATATTAATTTTCAATTATTCACGTAATTTCCAAACATTACAGTCAGTCTGCAAACCATTGACTATTACAATACTATTATTATTATATTTAATGACATTGATTATTTTGATATGTCATCAGTTGATATAAATTCAATTGAAATTACAATTTTGATTAAAAAATATTATCACTTTTATTAAACATAAAATATAATATCGAAACTGATCATTAATTTAATAAAATATACAATAAACCTCTAACAAAACTGAATTAATACAATGTGAAAACAATTGCTTTATAACTTAAAATGTTTGAACAATATTGAAATTTACAATCCTTTTAATACTATTTAATTATTAAATATTAAATTTCAATAAAAATGCTAACAAATGGTGAAATTTTAGTTTTTAGATGTTATATAATGTAATGAATATAAAAATGAAACATAATATTAATATTTGTCCAAACGATTGGTCAGAGTCTAGCGTTTAGCACGAGTTGGGCTGCCTTTGGGATCGGGTATAACACTCTTACCACTTGAACGGGGAATAAATTCTTGGCTCTCAGATGTGTTATGAACGGGAAGTTTATTAGTGTTTTGCTTATCATTGGATGGTTTCATCATTTTTTGTTCAATTTTAGAGTTTGTGATATTTTGGTCATATTTTGGAGATTGACTTTTGGATCGAATCCCTGTTTCAGAGTTAGTCTTAAATAAGTGACAATTAAACCATTTGATCAAAAATTGGTCCAATTCTTTGGGATATAATATATAAATCATAAGAACGCCGATCCATATCATCCCTATAATAATCATCAATATTAAGGCTACTATTATTGCCAAAGACATTATAACTGTTATTTAATATCAAACAAATATTGTACATCCAAACAATACATCCAAACGTTTATATAATCTAAATTTACACGACTTTCAAATTTAATTTAATTTTAATTGTTATAATCATAAATCACGAGATATACAAGACTTTAAACTAAAAAGTTATTAAAAAGTTATAGATTAAGTTATTATTGAAACTTTTTAGCAAAATCATCTGTAAAATTATTGATATATTAAAATTTAATAATTAAATACATGATAGTGATTTAATTCTAAAAAATTGTCAAAATAAATGTATTTTAATTTTATGTCATAATTTCAATATCATGGTTAAATTTAATTTTAGTACATTAAAAATGTTTTAATAATTTGTAAGTTTTATTTGAAAATTTGTACAAATTTTTTACGTTGAGTTTACAATTAAAAAGTTGTGAACATTTAAATTATTATATAGTATATAATATATACCAATATAATGTAATAATTAATTAATTGTGAATACAGTATTACAAATTTTCAATTCATTTTTTATAAACTTTTCTTGCTATGAAATTACATTAATTTAAAGTTAAAC